GTGACCAGCAGTCGGATGGTCATGAAGCGCTCTGAGGACTTTGAACCGAGGCGGTCGGGGTAGAACGGGAACCCAGCGCTGACCGTCAGGATGGTAAATTTTGCGGTACAGCACCGAGCTGTCCAGCTTAAATTGCGGGAGTTAGCGACGGAGCCTTGCATTAGGTGGACAGGAACCGCCAATGAGGTAGCCTATAATACGTCAACAGTATGGGTCAGTCAACTGTCGAGAAGGAAAATCGTGGGGGTCGTCCGAAGGCAGCTGGTCCACAGAGGCGAGAGAGGAAACCGCCGTAGACGTGGACTCCGAGGGCGTGTTGTGCAAACTGATTGCGGAAACCCCGAGTGGAGTCGCTGGTAGTCGGCAGCGAGAAAGAGCGTTGGCGTCACTATGCGTCCTGCTACACTTGTATACGATCTCAAAATCATATTCTTGGAGGCGTAATCCAGCGTCCGAGGTGTCCCTACAAGTTCTTGAGTGTCGAAAGCCAACATAAAGCGTGGTGGTCGGTCACAATGGTGAAATGGCGGCCATGCAGATATGGATGAAATTTCTGTACTGACCAAACGATGGCGAGGCACTCCTGCTCGATGATCGTGTAATTCCTCTCGGCTGCAGAGAGGATGCGGCTGGCGTACGCAACGAATCGCTCTCGTGAAGAATTTTCGCGTTGCAGGAGCACGGCTCCTAAATCGCGGCCGCTAGCGTATGTGTGCAGGAAGGTCGGTGCATCATCATGAAAATGAGAAAGTACAGGGTCGGTCGTGAGGGCCCTCTTCAACCTGTCGAAAGCCAATTCACATTCCTGAGACCACTGAAAGGGCATACCGGAAGCAAGTAGCTTATGAAGTGGTGCGGCTATGGAGGCAAAGTTTTGTATGAATCACCGAAAGTAAGAGGCGAGACCAAGGAAACTTCGCAAATCTTTCGGCTTTTCAGGGCGAGGAAAGTGAAGCACCGCAGCAGTTTTCTCAGGGTCTGGACGAATTCCGTCTTTGCTCACAACATGACCGACACCTTGATAGTTCTGCTGGCGAAATGGCACTTCTTGGAGTTAATTTGAAGACCAGCGCCCGCGAGGCAAGTCAGGACCTCGTCCAAGCGTTGCAGATGTTGAGGAAACGTCGATGAAAAGACAACAATGTCATCAAGGTAACATAGGCAAGTCTTCCATTTCAGGCCACGCAGCACGGTGTCAATCAAGCACTCAAAAGTTGCGGGCGCATTGCATAGACCAAACGGCATAACATTGAATTCGTATAGGCCATCCGGGGTTGCAAATGCAGTTTTTTGTTTGTCATCTTAGTGCATGGGGATTTGCTAATAGCTGGAACGCAAGTCCAGGCTTGAAAAGAATTCAGCACCTTGTAAGGAATCGAGGGCGTTGTCGATACGTGGCATGGGGTATACGTCCTTCCTAGTGATCTTATTGAGTGCTCGATAATCGACGCAAAATCGTACGGAACCATCTTTTTTACGCACCAGAACCACTGGAGATGACCAAGGACTGGTTGAGGGTCGGATTATCTCCCGTTGCAGCATATCCTTTACGTTTTCCTCAATTATTTTTCGTTTGGCTAGGGAGACGCGGTACGGACGACGATGCACAATAGATGTTCCGTCGGTCTGAATACGATGTGCTGTAGCAGTTGTCTGACCCAGGCTGGATGAATGAACGTCAAAAGAGTTTGCATGCTTTTGCAACAATCAAGCAGTTGCTGCTTCTGCGAGTCTGTCAAGTCCTTGTTGATGGCTGCTGTAAAGGCCGATGACGCAGCATGATCTCCAGGATGGTCTTTAGAGGAGGCAGGGGTAAGAGGCACGACGCACACAGGCTCCAGATCGGCAACGCAGGCGACAGTAGTGCCCCGCGGCAGTAAAATTTTATCTGGTGTGGTGTTCGTAGCAGCGAGGACAGCTGATCCATTGTTGAAGAGAGCCACACCTGATGCGAGAGCTATGCCTTTATTAAGGCAACGGGGCGATGGAGTGACCAAAATGTCACCAGAGTCGACGTCGTTGGACAAAACTGTGACTAATTGATGTTCGTTTGGGGGTAACTCGATGTCTACAGCAGCGACGAGTCGAAGTGGCCTGTAGGTTTCGTCACTAAGCAAGTGGTCTGTGTCAGTAAGATGGACGACACGTAGTGCACAAAAAATAGCCGCGGAAGCAGATGAAAGAAAGTCCCAGCCTAAAATGAGTTCGTGGGAGCACAGGGATAGCACAGCGAATTGTATATAATGAAGAATGTCGTCGATTAGCACACGAGCAGTACAGAGAGCGGAAGAGCGAATCATTTTTCCCTGGGCTATAACCAGTGTTGGTCCATCATAAGGGGTCGTGACTTTTCGAAGATGGGTACACAAATCACACGAATAATAGAAAAACCAGCCCCAGTGTCCACCAAAGCATCAACGTCCACTCCCTCAACTGTGACTGCAATCGTATTGTAAGGGTGCGCTGGAGGAATCGGAGTACTGTGTTGGAATGCAGTTTGTCCTCCAAAAACTGCATCGCTTAGTTTTCCGGACGCCGATCAGAAACGAGGGAAGCAGGCTGAAGAGGAGAAGAGGAGTGACGGTAGGGCGATGATGAACGGCGTCGGGTTGATCGATGACTACTGCACAGTTCACCGGACGCTGGCAGAGATGGAAGCCGACGCGGCGGTGACGAATAACATTGGCCCTGGTACGAGGCTCCTGTGGTATAGTCTCGTTCGCGTATGTCGTACCCTCGGCGCTCATCTTGCTGGCGCTTGCGGCAAAAGCGTGAAATGTGACCACGATAGCCGCAATAATAGTACGTAGGGCAAGTCGATCGATAAGGAGGGTAGTAGCTTGTGCTAGATGCACCGGGAGAGAGAGAAGTGAGAGGGACAGATGATGGCTCAGGCGGTGGTGATGGAAAGCTCGTGGGAAAGCTTCTGGGAGGTGCCGCAGCAATTGGCGCGTACGTTCCTGGCGGAGACGTCGAGCTGACGGTGCGGCGACGGCATGCGAGAACGATGGGAGAATACGAACGACAGTGGGCTGCAGGTGGGCCATGTGAGTCATGGACGTGAGCTCCTCCCTGATGACAACCTGCAATGACGTTGAAGAAGACTGAATGAGACACACTGAAGGTAGTGTGAATCCCATTGATTCTTATTCTTCACGTATAATCACCCTTATTGCGTCTCGTAGGTTTGGATCCGCCTTAATACGGGCCGCGTCATTGTACGGCTGTAGGCGCATAAACTCAAGTTCTTTGAGGCGCTGACAGGTTGTCGCAACGTCAGCAACGGTAGCCGGATTCTGGATTGCAAGGGCATTGAATGCGACGGATGCAATCCTTTTATGAAGGTAGCGTACCTTGTCTGACTCTGTAAATTGGGGTGTCAACGCGGCGGCAAAGTGAAAGGACATCCTCGACGTAGGATGTATGTGACTCCCCGATGTGCTGTTTCCGAGTCGCGAGAGCTTTCTTTGCGAGAGCTGAACGAACAGCCGGTATGCCAAAGATATGGCGAAGCTGATCTTTGAAGGCTGACCAGTCGGGGATGTCGATGAAGTGATTGAGGAACCACGTCTTCGAGACACCCGTGAGGTAGAATGACACGTAAGCGAGTTTGTAGGTGTTATCCCACCGGTTAGCATCGCCGACACGTTCAAAATCGTCCAGCCATTCCTCCACATCTTCCCCGCGCATACCAGCGAAGGGGTGGGGCTCACGCTGGAGGCTGTTAATGACGTGAAAAGGTGCAGCACGCAGCGGCGGAGTGGGAACGGCTGCAGCACCGACCTCTTTTGGTGCGACATATTTCCGGACACCTGGCCCAAGCGGCGACCTGAACGTAGCTCCAGGGGGTAGAGTGGTCGAGAGGATGACGGGGGATCTAACAGCACGCTCCGCCACGTATGAAGTCTTGGTTTGGAAGACCTTAATTAGGCCCGAAGAACCAGCAGCCGACAGTTGAGATGAACGAACCAAGATGATGCTACCTGACAACGATGAGGATGCATGAGCAACACATGATAATGATGATAATGTACAGATGAAGAGGATTCGCATACTAAATGCCCACAATATATATATATATATTGTCATGATTCAAGAAAGACGCTCGGACGAGTAGCTAGGGCGAGATCAGGATATTCCTGACAATATATCACCGCAACGCAGCCAACGAATATTCTGTACATTATGTGGATTATGTGAGAAAAGAGAGGGTACGTAAGGATGGAGCTTTACATGCTTAACTGTGGTACTTCCACAAGAAATGCTTTTTACAAACAACATACTACCACTTATTGAAAGGATCAGAATATAAATGAGATTATACCCTTTGACAGTTTTTGCCTTTGAAGAGAACGCTATTTTGCTGTATTGATAAAGACACACAGAGAAATGATGCAACCGACACACAAACACAATTTTCTTCGTGCGACCACCATCTTCTTTCATATACGACAGCTTTAGATATTTTTGTGATATTGAAGCAGCATAAAATTCCCACTCCACCTACCTTGACCCTGAAATACCTGCCGAAATATTCGTTGTTCCTTCAATTTCCATGCCAATCTAAACAGATCGCAGCAGAAGAGAATTTACAGTAGTTGTCTACAAAACAACACAAATCGTGAAACAGTAGCAGCAACAAATAATAATTACTAAGAAAGAGAAAAACAAGAAATATTAGTACCATGTTGAATCTAACAACACACAGGTTCCCAGAGGGAATGAAGACCATAGCAGGGAAAACAAAAAACACTGCAAGGCCACGGTGTGAGCCTTTTTACACAGTGGTGCTGCATCATGAAGTAAAAAATACAAACGCCGGCACTTGAAGTATAGCTAAAAAAGCAATAACAAAACAAGAGATGGACAAGATATAATGAGCAGAAAGGTGTCGCTTCACACATCAGTAGGCGAAAAAAAAAAAAAAAAAAGAATCATCACGCAGTGTTTCTGGTGCACTTTTAAGTGCAGTTAACAACTGTTCCCTGTTCTTGAATTACCTTGTACTCATGCTCAACGAGAATCAAGATCTCGAAGCTCTGGCCCGCGACGAGCGGAAACGGGTCACCATGCGACTCCTCGGGCCCCCACTGCTGGGCCTGGATCGAATTGCGCACGATGCGCGGCGGTGGCGAGAAGACGGGACTCAGGTGAAGCGCGATGTCATCGCGCGGATGCACGTTCGGTCCGCATTGGAGGTTGATGGCGAAACTGCGAGGAATTTGGTGCGCAAGGCTAAAGTGCTCTGCCACTGCACTATAGTGTTATCTTGGACTGGTTTGTGCATGCTGGAAGACGTGGGTAACAGCATGAATACAAGTCAAGACACTCCAGGAACAGTTGTGCTAAAGGAAGCAACTGCTTCTCAAAGAAGTGAGTGCGGCTTCGAGAAACACAATCTCGACATTCGGCTATTTAAGTTTCCGATCCATCTGACAAGACTGTTCTCACCCGATCATCTCTGTAATACTAACCCCACCCGGTACGAGTCAAGTGGAAATTTTTCACTACCTTTTGTCCAGCGTAGTTATCGATGTCAAAACACTTGCTTTTGCCTCATCTATTTAAAATGTGCGACCACCTTATATCACTGTTTGTGAATTGGCGCACTTGAAAAGCAGTTTTTCACACGTATTAGATTAGTAAGTTTACAGTGCCTTATTTAGGTAAGCTGTGTATCACTCTATTAAAACGCCACTCTAATAAGGCTTCAGTCTTTTTCTGTGAACTTGATGCTTTTGCTTACCTGCCTACCTTTCTTGGTAATAATTATTTTCTGTTATATTATTTCTTGCTAACCAACGTACTCATTTTTGTTGATAATCATTAACAGGAGGTCACGCAACACCATGCTGCCATCAGAACTCCTGTATATTCATCTGTATGTTTTTTGTTTTAAATGAAAATGCAATAAGCTTCACTTCGGAAGCTAGCCTATCTCTGCCTTACAACAACAATCTTCATCTACCCAGCATGCCTTTCCTTGCTTTAACGTTGCGTGCTTTCGAATCACAAATGGTGTGCTCGCTAAGTGGGACATGGCAATCTTGAAAGGAAAGCAATAAGCGACGACTAATAGGGAAAAAGATGCAAGCCATGTAATGCGCTCTAGTGGTGGCAGGAATATGTCTATAATGGCTCAACATCTTTTACAGTGAAGCAGTGGCATAAATGGCTTGAGGTTGTTGTTTCTGCTATAGAATGGCATAGTTGTTTTTAATAGAGAACACCTGAGACTGAATGATTGAAGTGGCAGTTCATTGCAAGTTTTCACAATACATAAGGTAGGCATGGTTTCATTGCAAGCTGATACCGACCAGAAACATTTCGTCTTAAAATCATTGCATTAGATATTTTACACTGATCATCGTAAATAATTTGGACAAGCTGAGAGATGAGATCTGTTATGGAACAGCAAAAACAAGTGCAATCATAATCTTATCAACTGTCAAAATAAATTTACTGGAAAGTAATAAGAAGTTGTTGGCAGACAAGCATTGTCGCATATAGCCACGCTATACCAAGACATCTTGACAACGTGTCATGTGAGAGACTGTAGTCCACCTTGACAAGAGATATTGCTTACAGCGCTGGTGGCAACAACATACTATGTCGATACAGACTGGACAAAGGTGTGAAAACTGATAAAAGGCATATTGTTTCATGTGTATTGTTACGTTTAATTTTTTTTCCCCATGCTACAACCACATCAGTACTTCGCACCTTGTTTAAGCAAAGATATGTTATACTTCAACCAAATTAGTTCTACAGGCATGGTTCATTTAGAAGATGCGTGGCCCTGGGAGCTATTTGGAAACTTGTGAGCACAATGTCTTCAGCGAACTGGGTAAACACGGCAGTCACAAATGTTAACCACAGAAGAACAGAACGATGTGTATACCATCTCGCAGAGTGGTGCGGAGTGCCTTGGATGCGAATGAGTGTGCCGACAGAGAGCACACCGCCTGGAATGGGTCCAACATACGGAAGGGGCTGTAAGCATGCAAGTCACATATGTCGTGGATTAGTAGTCATTCTAGCAAATGACAGCTACACCTTTAGACCAGACGCGACCGAGCAATGATTACCATGCACTGCACATATAAAAACGATTAAAAAGTAAACGATTTCTGAACGCGAGGTGTTGCTGGTGGATTAGAAGTAATCAAACGAAGACTTGTCCAGCAGCTGTCCAACTAACGTTTGTGATCATGTACTGAAAGCTAAAAAAGCTGTTTGCAGTGTCACTTTTCATTAGATGCGACTGACAGATACAAAACATATATGCACTGGTCATTCTAATTCAGTATGTCACGTCTTTTTCTTTCTTAGGTATTCTGAAGCTGAGTTTAGCAAGAACCTCAAGGTAAACAAATACTGCAACAGAGAACTAAAAAAAAACGCAAAAAACAAGCACGCACGTGATTATCGCAGTACCACACAAACACAGAGGTTACTACACAACAGGAACACACCCGAAAATTCGTTTCATCACATTACATCACTTTCGGATTCGCAATTGCCCCAAGAAGATGCTTAGCACCTTGGTTATTCCAAATGTTAGAGTTTATCACAAGAACAGGGTCAACGCACGCTTAGTGACCAATGAACTATAAAAGATGACCAAGTAGTTTCTACACTGATAAGCACGCAAGACTACTACTGCGGTGGCTGAGTACACTTCGTAGTACAGATGCTGTACGGATCACATTGCGCTTGATACACATTGACAATGTTCCTTGACGACGAAGTTTGCTGTGACGTGACACGCAGATTGTTTCGCTCGACGCTTTGTCCAATGAGCAAGGCGAGACACTGCCCTCAGGGCTTTTGAAGAGTTCCGCATAATGCCGGTGCGTGTAGAAGCCGTTCCCAATGCCCACTCAAGCAATCGCGCGTGCGACATTCCACAAGAAGGAAGCATCGTAAATGTCGGCATGTTAGGATCAAGCTTACCGGATTATAGATGGGGGAAGTCATTCTCAACGCCGCTGTCGGTCCACTAGAATGCCGGGGGAAACTACGACAGGAACACAGCCAGGCTGACGGTCATCCTACGCGAAAGCCGACAGCTTACACCCCACTTGCAACCGAAACCGCAAAACGTAAAGCCAAGTTTGACTCACAACTTCCCCAACGACACTTCCGCTTTTTGTTGTTCATGGTTAGCAGACTGCTTTACAAGTAGCAGTCGTTACACGCCGTTACGCAAAGTTAAAAAAAAAAAAAAAAAACACTCGTCGTTAGGTGTTCTTTGTGACAATTATTTAGGACACACCAGAACAAAAAAAATTGTTTTTAACAACGCCCAAGTTATTTGTAAGCAGATAAATACGCAATAACGCTAGTAACAGCACTTACGGACAAGCACCACCGCCAGGTGGTTGCCACAAAAAAACCGCAATTTTCAAACATTGGTCTTCGCGAGTTATACCAGTTTGGATACTGTAGCTCATAGCATATGCTGATGCTTCTTTCTGCGGAGAGACATATTTGTTTGATTGCCTCCGGGGTCCTAAAGAAGGTGAAAGAGAAAACTTTTCTGTAAGATATTTGAACTATAGATGGCACACCCCACATTCTCATCTTTGCTCGTCTTTAGCGTAACTATTAGCCTTACCTGGACTCGCGATTATACTTACGTCTACTCACACGTTTTCTAAAAAAGTATCGTTCATACATAACATATATTTATCAGAGGTGTGAATTGCGTAGGGGAGTGCCTTGACCTCCCCCCCCCCCCTCACAACCAACTCTTAGATAGATTTGTGAGGTTTAACGTCCCAAAACCACCATATGATTATGAGAGACGCCGTAGTGGGGGGCTCCGGAAATTTTGACCACCTGGGGTTCTTTAACGTGCACCCAAATCTGAGCACACGGGCCTACAACATTTCCGCCTCCATCGGAAATGCAGCCGCCGCAGCCGGGATTGGAACCCGCGACCGGCGGGTCAGCAGCCGAGTACCTTAGCCACTTGACCACCGCGGCGGGGCTCACAACCAACTCTTCCAGGAAAGATCTCGATAAATATGCCATATGTTTATTGTCACCTAGCTCCTTGCAGAAAAATGTCCTTAGTCGTTTTCGACCACTAATAAATCGTATTCTAAGGTACTTTATCAATTGGAGCCAATAAGAACACCGATTAAGCGAGGTATTGTTAAAGAGCATTTGACACCATGGTCGAACAATAAAGCTGCCTTTGCCATTGGCTGCCAGTGACACTGGTTACTATGAGCTGGCAACCGCAAACCATCAGAAGCTGTTAACATGTTCCCTTAGTAATATGAGCGTAGCACCAGTGGCGTACCAACTCTTTCGCGAGTGAGGGGGTGGGGGGCTAACCTACCGCACTTGTCAATATATATATATATATATATATATATATATATATATATATATATATATATATATATATATATATATATATATATATATATATATATATTGTTACGTGAAGGAGACTGACTCAGAGGGGTAGTCACCGATGTATTTACAGACGGTTAGGCGAGCAGCGCCAGCCACACAGATTAGCTCGTGCCAGTCTATCTGCTTCGTCTTCTTCAGCTCCATGCACTGGCACGTAGCATGACCCCCGGCGGCGGAGGCACCGTCCCGGTGCTTTAAAGGTCGTTATCTGACGCATTATTGTAGGGCTTGATCCGCGAGACGTGTACGATATCACTGGGCCGCATAGTAGATGATGATGGGCAGATGGGGCTGATCTCGTAGGTGACAGGTGTTACTTGACGCAATATACGATAGGGTCCCGTGTAATGAGACAGAAGTTTTTCGGATAGGCCCAGCCGACGATGAGGGGACCAGAGTAAAACGAGGGTGCCGGGAGCGAAATGTACGTCTCTATGTTCCGCATCGTACCGACGGCATTGGTTGGTTTGCGACGCCATCAGCCGAGCGCGAGCGAGCTGACGGGCATGATCGGCTCGCGCAATCGCGTCGCGGGCATACTCGCTGGTGGACGAGGTGTGAGCTGAGATGACTGTGTCCAGTGGTAAAGTCGGCTCTCTTCCGTACAATAAGTAGAACGGCGAAAAGCCCGCTGTGTCGTGACGGGATGAATTATACGCGAAAGTTGCGTAGGGTAAGGCAAGGTCCCAGTCTCGGTGGTCGGGCGACACGTACATAGCGAGCATATTTGTTAAAGTGCGGTTAAATCGTTCCGTAAGGCCGTTTGTTTGAGGGTGGTAAGCGGTTGTCAGTGTGTGTTGCGTCGAACAAGAACGCAGAATGTCGGCGATGACTTGGGATAAAAATGTACGGCCACGGTCTGTGAGAAGCTGTCTCGGCGCACCGTGAATCAATATAACGTCCCGTAACAAGAAGTCAGCGACGTCGGTTGCACAGCTGGTCGGTAGAGCTCGCGTAATAGCGTAGCGTGTAGCGTAGTCTGTGATAACGGCTATCCATTTGTTTCCCAATGTTGATGTGGGAAAAGGACCAAGCAGGTCTAACCCAACACGGTAAAATGGTTCCGCGGGTATGTCAATTGGTTGAAGATGGCCAGCGGGTAGCAGCGATGGTGTCTTACGACGTTGGCATAGGTCACATGTGGCGACGTATCGGCGTACCGAACGAGCAAGGCCTGGCCAGAAAAAACGGCGCCGGACGCGCTCGTACGTGCGGGATACGCCAAGGTGTCGAGCCGTGGGAGCGTCGTGAAGTTCGGTGAGAACACAGCGGCGCAAATGCTTAGGCACAACAATGAGAAGGTCGGGCCCGTCTAGTCGGAAATTGCGACGGTATAGCACACCCTTTTGAATGACAAAGTAGCGGACGGAAGCATCATTTGTGGAGGATTCCATACGGCTGATGATGTCAAGCAGCTCTGGATCACGCTTCTGTTCTTCCCCAATATTAAGGAAGTCGGACACTGACAAGATAGAGTTCTCCGTGGGCTCGTCAGTGTCCTCAGGATCGTCGACAGGGTACCGGGAGAGGCAATTGGCATCACGGTGTAGGTGGCCAGATTTGTAGACCACCGAATAGGAAAACTCTTGCAGGCGCAAAGCCCAGCGACCAAGGCGGCCTGATGGATCTTTCAGAGAGTTCAGCCAGCAGAGTGCGTGGTGGTCGGTAACTACCGAAAATGGGCGTCCGTATAGATAAGGTCGAAATTTCGCCACCGCCCATACAAGAGCCAAGCACTCACGCTCTGTTATCGAATAGTTACGTTCAGGGGCGGATAGGAGGCGGCTGGCATATGCAATAACGCAATCATGGCCATGTTGTTTCTGAGCCAGCACTGCACCAATGCCATGCCCACTTGCATCTGTACGGATTTCCGTACGGGCAGCAGGGTTGAAGTGTGCCAGAATCGGAGGGGTAGTGAGAAGAGCGACGAGAGTCGAGAACGCAGAAGCCTCTTCGGAGCCCCATGAAAACGGGACTTCTTTCTTGAGGAGCTGCGTAAGCGGCCTCGCTATGTGCGCAAAATTTTTCACGAAGCGTCGGAAGTAGGAGCATAGTCCGATAAAGCTGCGTACATCCTTCGCAGATCGTGGTACAGGAAAGTTTTTGACGGCGCTGATTTTTTCCGGGTCTGGTTGTACACCGTTGGCGTCTACTAAATGGCCAAGCACTGTGATTTGATGGCGTCCAAAGTGACATTTGGACGAGTTGAGCTGCAGGCCAGCGCGACGGAAGATTCCCAGGATGGCTGAGAGGCGCTCTATGTGAGTTTCAAACGTTGGTGAAAAGACGATGACGTCGTCCAAGTAGCACAAACATGTGGACCATTTGAATCCTCTGAGCAGGGAGTCCATCATTCGTTCGAAGGTGGCTGGAGCGTTACAAAGGCCGAAGGGCATGACCTTGAACTGATATAGGCCATCGGGGGTGATGAATGCCGTCTTTTCACGGTCCATTTCATCTACCTCTATCTGCCAGTAGCCGGAACGAAGGTCTATGGAGGAAAAATAGTGGGACCCATAGAGGCAATCAAGCGCATCATCTATTCGTGGCAGAGGGTAGACGTCTTTTTTGGTAATTTTGTTTAGGTGTCGATAATCCACACAGAAACGCCATGCACCGTCTTTCTTGCGGACTAGCACTACAGGAGACTAATTATGACTACAGGAGAAGCCCAAGGACTGCAAGATGGCTCAATGATGTCCTTGGCGAGCATTTTGTCGACCTCACTTTGGATGATGTGACGCTCGGCCGCCGACACCCGATATGGGCGCCTATGAATAGGATGCTCATTACCAGTGTTTATGCGGTGGCTCATACCGGTAGCTTTCCCCAACGGACGGCCGCTGATGTCAAATACGTCGATGTAGGACAGCAGAACCCGGTGGAGCTCATCAGTCTACTGCGGTGTTAAGTTGGAAGCGATCATCGAAGTAATAGCGCTGTCGGAGCAAGTGGCAGACTGATGTTGAGCGTGGGGTTCAGAAGGGGTGGCCATCGCGAAAACATCTACCGCATTGTCTTCTAAGGTGCAGAGCAACGCTAAAGAGATCCCTTGCGACAAAACTTGAGGTGTCAAGCTAAAGTTGACAACTGGGAGGCACGTAGAATTTCCTGCGACGGACATAATGGTGTGCGGTAATGTAATGCCATGGCTTATGAGGACATCGGTGATAGGGGTCAGAACATAGTCACCGTCGGCAACTGGTGGTATTGAGACGAGCTCTATGTAGGTCAGTGTCTGTGGAGGGAGGCGCGCGTGTCCCGTTGTGCAGAGGCGACTCGGCCGTTGTGTAAGAGGTTCTGTTGCGGGCAAGTGTAGACGGAGCGTACTGGTCGAACAGTCTATGAGGGCAGAATGCGCGGATAGGAAGTCGAGGCCTAAGATTACGTCGTGGGGGCATTTATCAAGGACGGTGAAGAGAACAACTGTGTGTCGATCCGCAATGCTCACACGAGCGGAGCACATTCCAACGATAGATGCTATGCCACCATCCGCAACACGGACGAACTGGGTGGTCGCAGGTGTGAGAACCTTCTTGAGCTTGCGGCGAAAATCACTCGTCATCACGGAAAGTTGGGCGCCGGTGTCGACAAGAGCAGTGACATGTAGGCCGTCTACTTGTACGTCTATGAGGTTCCGTTTTGTCGGTATCGTCAAAAGAG